TTTTCTCACGTATTTCTAGAGAAGCAGGTCACCCCAACGCTGTCCTGGTGCAGCTGAGTTTTTGCACCCCACTTAGAATATCACACTTAACTCTATTAAACCCTCCCTTAGTTTAGTGGGCTGCGGTCTTCCTGAATCTTAATTCTGTCACTGAATGTATTACCTAGCCTTCCATCATCAAATAGCCTTCCTTCTCTGTCATCCACCAAATTGATTAATACGCCACCTGTCTCCTCTCCAGTCACAGATAAAATTATATCACATGGGATGGAATCTCCTGAGCCCCACTAAATACCCCATCCGTGTTGGGGGCAATGCATTAACAGACACAGGCAGCTATGTACAGACCTAATAATATGGCCATCAGCCTCAATATTTCATCCTCTCCTGCACAGGACTCTGAACTTAGGACCTGAATGAGTCCTGCTTTCTCCTCTCACTATGCCTCTGCCCACAAATATAACTTGACATGTCCCCAGTTTAAGCCACCATCTCCATGGCAGGGGAACTGTTAATTAAAAAAAAAAAAAATGTACTGAGACACTGTGCCATGTGTTAGAACTAAAAGATGACTCAAAGGTTTTCAGATTCTAATATTCCGGGTCTGGAACGCCTGCCTTGGCAGGTCCCATACTCCCCACCTCCAGGCTCATCAGTGACATCACCGCCTCCCCCCGCCCCCACAGGCATACCCTAACCCCCGACCAGGACCCTCTGAGTCCACTCTGGCTGGCCTGGCTGCTCCTGCTGTGCCCCCAGCGGAGGGAGGGGTGGAGCGCTCAGGAAGGTTGGGGCTAGAACTCAGGGACTTTTCCTTGGAGCCATCCGAGGTAGCTTCACGGTACCCTGAGCTCTGATAAGCTTCACTGGCCTGGAAACCTAACTGCAGAGTTGATGTCGTTTCCCTGAGAAGAGGTTGCCAGCTCCTAAACAAATGTCCCATGCAGAGCTTTGGAGGGGAACCCATCTGTAAACGCAGGGCTGAGGATGTTTTGCTGGCCTGATGCCCATGCCCAGGACCTCTGACTGTCCCCAGCCTTCTCCAATCATCCTCAAATGTAGAGCTGCGGGCACGAGGCCAGGCCCTGGGAGGGAGGTGTGCAGAGTCCCCTGGCTCCAGAGGCTGCTGCCCCTCAGACTGACGCCTCCTGCTAAAAACTGCAGTGGAAGCCCCTGGGGAGAAGTCGGGGGCTGAGGGGCCACCTGTGGGTCTGCCCCCTAAAACCTGAGAGCCCTAAAGGCCATCGTCATGACTCCCGTTGGATCCCAGGCTGGTGAACTCCAGATGTCCAGGGAATAGTAGGAGCCGTAACCAGTGCAAAGGTCGCCGTGGATTTTAAACCAGGGATGTTCTGGGCTCTCGTTCTTCATGGGACATTCCAGGCCTGGCTCCTCTGTGGTGCACCCCCCACCCCCAGAACTCTGAGATTCGGAAGCAGCAATGATGCCTCCCGTCATAAAGAGGTAGTGGATCTCACAGGTAGAGCCTACCGGCCCGGGTTTAACACTCTGCTCCGCCAGTCCCCGTGTGTCAGTTTTCTCACCTGTAAAGTGGGCTCACGGCTGTCCCTGACCCGCAGGGTTATTCTGATGGAATGCTCACATGGGGCTTGGTCAGGGCGTGTTCAAGACCAACACCTCCCATAGACACTGACTGTATCTATAAGATGACGGAGCCAGGACTGTCACAAAAATATTTAGCTGTTTCTTTACAAGTGCCTTTTACCCTTTTCAGAGTGATTTTGTATATATTTCCCTCATATGAAGGCTTCCCACGTGGCTCAGTGGCGGAGAATCCAACCGTCAAGCAGAAGACCCGGGTTCAATCCCTGGGTCGGGAAGATCCCCGGAGGAGGAAATGGCAACCCACTCCAGTGTTCTTGCCTGGGAAATCTCATGAACAGAGGAGCCTAGCAGGCTACAGTCCATGGGGTCGCAAACAGTCGGACATGACCTAGCAACTGAACAACAGCAATCTTCATGTGAGGCGGGGCAGAACAAGTCCTTGTGCCCTCAGGTTTACACAGGAGAAAGCTGAAGGTCAGGGAAGGTAGGCAAGCCCCTCAGGCCCCCAGCTAGTCTTTGGTAGACTTGGGATAGCCTTCTGTTTGCCCCACACCATGCCCTTGACCTCAACACCAGAACACAAACGTTCTTACAAATCTACTTCTCATCACCACCAAGCTCAAAGCACCAAGTCTGAGCGGTCCAAAAATATTTTTTCAGCCTTCCTCTTTTGGGTGAAAGTGATTTGGTTCAAACTTCTCCCAAACAAATTAAAGTGACACAGATAGAGGACAGGCCTCCAGGACAGAGTAAGAGACTTGGAAATCCTTCATGTCTGGTGAAAGAGGAGAGTGAAAAAGCTGACTTAAAAGTCAACATTCAAAAAACTAAGATCATAGCATCTGGTCCCATCGCTTCATTACTTCATGTCAGAAAATTGTTCATCTCCTACTAAAGTAATAGAGCACCCAACATTCTAATCTTCCCTCACACCTAAGGGTGCTGAAAGCCTTAGACAATAATGAGTGTCACCAGCACGTTTTTTCTTTTTGTTTTTTTTAAGGAAAAGGGCAAAGTGCATAGTTTTGCCGGTAGGTGGCGATAGAGTAATGAGGCTAAAGAAGCTGAATACTTAAACATATAGCTCATAAATATTGTGAACTTGGAGATCATCCCACCCAAAGTGCTAATATCACTCAAAAAGAAATTGCAGTTCATGGAGGGTATGTGATGTGCACAAAGTCCTACACCTTGTTAATGGCTGAGTCAAATTAAACTCACTTTTCATCATGAACCCAGAATCTACAAGAGCACAGACTTGCCTTTCACAATAGCCTGGCATCACTGAATCATGTAAAGGAGAATATCACTTCATCTGAGTGTGCTAACTGAAGTGTGCTGGAAAGCTGATGGCCTTTAAGAAATGAAACCGTTGGTTACGCTCTCAGCCTTGTGAGCTGAAGGTGGGGGCAGTGGGTGGGAAGGAGAATAGCCATGTGGGTGTCATTATGAGGCTTCCTAACATGTTTTGCTGCCCGTAAGTCCCTTCCAGATACACTTCCCCCAAAATATCAGGGACTATTGGATAAGAATGTTCACTTCCTGACCACCCCTGCCACTGCAGGCACTGGTGTGCAGTGAAGGGCATTTGCTGCTTTGATCCATTCTGCTTCAGGCACGTGGGGAGAAGCAGAGCCTCAGGAAATGAGGGGACTGTCTACTCCCTGAAGGAGCCAGATTTGTTCTGTGTGGTCCCAAGGAAAGAAATGCAAATAGATGGGTGAGGCAAATGTGCCCAGAATGATAATGGGCATATTTTGGGTGCATATTAAGGGTGATGGGCTTCCCTGATGGCAGGGAAGAAACTACCTGCAATGCAGGAGATGCGAGTTTGATCCCTGGCTCAGGAAGATCCTTGCAGGAGGAAATGGCAACCCACTCCAGTATTCTTGTCTGGAAAATTCCATGGACAGAGGATCCTGGCAGTCTATAGTCCATTGGGTCACAAAGAATGGACACGACTGAGTACACATACGTGATTAAGTGTGATGAAGGACAGATGGATGGATGATGGATAAAGGTTTCAGATTGGCATAAGGAAAAGTTTTCTCAAAGTCTCAACAGTCCAAGAAGAAATGCTCTATTTTTGTTGTTGCTAAAGTAATGAGTTTACTGTCTCTGGAGGTATTAAAGCACCTGACAGCCACTCACTTGGTAGAGATATTATTGAAGCAGGTTAGTGGGTTGCATTGGAACAATAGACTGGTTCAAAATTGGGAAAGGAGTACATCAAAGCTTTATATTGTCACCCAGCTTATTTAACTTATATGCAGAGTACATCATGAGAATGTACTCTGGATGAAGCACAAGCTGGAATCAAGATTGCCAGCAGAAATATCAACAACCTCAGATATGCAGATGACACCACCCTTTTGGCAGAAAGCAAAGAGGAAATAAAGAGCCTATTAATGAAGGTGAAAGAAGAGAGTGAGAAAGGTGGCTTAAAACTCAATATTCCAAAAACAAAGATTATGGCATCCAGTCCCATCACTTCATGGCAAATAGATAGGGAAACAATGGAAACAGTGAGAGACTTTATTTTCTTGGACTCCAAAATCATTGCAGATGGTGACTGTAGCCATGAAATTAAAAGATGCTTGCTCCTTGGAACAAAAGCTATAACAAACCTAGACAGCGTATTAAGAAGCAGAGACATTACTTTGCCAACAAAAGTCCATTCAGTCAAAGCTTTGGTTTTTCCAGTGGTCATGTATGGATGTGAGAATTGGACCATAAAGAAGGCTGAGAGCCGAAGAATTGATGCTTCTGAACTGTGGTGTTGGAGAAGACTCTTGAGAGTCCCTTGGACAGCAAGGAGATCCAACCAGTACATCCTAAAGGAAATCAGTCCTGAATATTCATTGGAGGGGCTGATGCTGAAGCTCCACTACTTTGGTCACCTGATGCGAAGAGCCTACCTATTGGAAAAAGATCCTGATGCTGGAAAAGATCGCCGGCAGGAGGAGAAGGGGACGGCAAAGGATGAGATGGCTGGATGGCTTCATTGACTCAATGGACATGAGTTTGAGCAAGCTCCAGGGGATGGTGAAGGACAGGGAAGCCTGGGGTGCTGTAGTCCATGGGGTCACAAAGAGTTGGACACGACTGAGCGACTGAACAACAATGGGGGTTTCTTTGAATTTGCATGAGCTTTTAGTTCCCCTTGAATTTCAGGACTGCTATTATTCCATGGTTATTGGTGCATAGTAAAAGGAAGAAAAGAGTAAAGATATTTTTGCCTCTGACTTTAAGAACTTTAAATAAGAAAATCACACAGATTTCAGGTTGCTTCATCCCAAAGTCTGGTCTTGGGTTTCTTTACTGAGCTTTCTGCCATAATTAGAAAATGTCATCAGCCTAGCAGTTCACTTGAGGGCTTCTGCTGGTTCCATCTAACTAATGAGTTTGTTTTTTTCTTTAATTCTGAAAACCAGGGGAACCTGCCTTGTGGAAACCTGAATCGGTCCTTCTCGATGCAGGTAATAATATACAGCCCATCCTTCTGGCCATGACTAGATCGAGATTCTTAGGATTACAGCAGATGGCAGAGAGGTCAAGCTCTGCTACAGAAGACTCCTCTGGTGTCACCTCCAACGTTAGATGTCTGGTGGTCAGGCAAAGGGCCCCCTGAAACCCCCACGGGGAGGACTGGGTCAGGGATAAGACTGGATTCACAAAGAGGGGAGGAAATGTGAAGACAGGAGGCAGTGAGTTCCCAGCCCCCAAAATGGGTTAGACCCTCACTTAACTTCCTTCTATTTCTTCTTCCTTCTTTGCAAATGGGATTGAGGTTTTTTCTTCATATGAATGAATGTTGTTCCCTATTTGCTACATTAAGTTTTTAAAGCTCCAACAGCAAACAGTCTTCCGACTCTTGGTGCAAGGGGAGATTTTGCTGGTTTGGGGGCAGGGAGGTATGGAGGAGAGGACTTGGGCCTCTGGATGTGTATTTCTTCCCCTCCCAGGACTCCTGGCTGAGAAGTGCCATTAGTGAATTTTTTAAATGATTTGAGGAAGTGGGATGAGCAAGCTGACCTTTAATGGGAAGATGAAATCATGTGCTTTGCAAATTGGAAAAACTAACAAAGCCAGCAGAAAGCTCACCCCAGCCAAGAGTGGAGTCCTGAGCACCTTCCTCCATGGAGGTGGGGGACTCTTGGCGGGCGTTCCCCAGCATCCCAGAAACAGGAGACTCACTTCCGGTGCTGCACTTACACTCTGCCCAGAAACTCATTGGCCTTTCTAAGCCTTAAAAGACTATTGTCTTTACTTCCTTATATATTTGTGACTGTGGCTCCCCGGTAAACAGCTCTAAAGAAAACCCTGAAGCCGAAATTCAGCTCACAAACACACACACCCTCTCAAAGCACTAAGTCCTTTTCTATGTGCATCTGTTCTCAGACTGCAGGAGGGGACAGGCTGCAGCGTAGACCCTCTTGTTTGTTGGAGCTGCCAGTATCTCCTCTCTTCTCCGGTCTACACCCAACCCTGGCCTTGGTCTCACTCATCTTTGTTCATCAACTCAGTCACTGAATATTGACTGAGGGCCACAGGGAATGTTTATGCGATGGGTGAGACTCAACCCCGACCTCAAGATTTTCAGAATTGTATGGAGGGATAATTTACACTGGCAAAGTGCTTCATGCTTTCAGATAAGGAGGCTAAGGCTCAGATAGATTAAGCTAAGGGGCTGTAGGAGACAGATCTGAACTCACCTGACTTCAAATGCCCCTAAGCACCCAGAGGAGTGCTGTGTCTCTATTGCACTGTCCGTAAATATTCATTCCTTCTTATCTCCTCAGATGGGGGTGATATGGAGAAGAGCACAGTTAGCAGTAAGCCCAGCCCCTGGAACTGAGTGTGAATATCCATTTTGTCCCCATCCCTGGGGTGAGGCCAGATGCTTCCTGTTCTTGTAAGTCACCAAAAGTTTTACTGCTCTTTCCAGGATTTGTTCCAAAAGAAGAATTAAGCACACAGTCTTTGGAGCCAGCATCCCAGGGAGATCCAAGTAAGTTAATTGACAACTAGAAACCCCTAGTGGCTTTGACATCTGATCTGCTCTCTCTCCCCTCTGCCCACTCACTCCTACCCACACCCGCCTCTCTCCTACCCTGGATCTATTTATCTCTCTTCTGTCACTTTGTTCTAAAGGAAAAGGGAAGCTTCTGAGGGATTTAAACTATCTGTGTGCAAGAGGGGGAGAGGATCAGATGTTTAAAATGTCACTATGGCAACAGGGTGGGTGGAGTGGGGAGACAAGAGTGGATGAAAGGAGACCAGCTTGCCAGTGAGGATGGAGGTCTTCAGAGATGATGGTACCGAGCTAGGGTGGGAAGCATAAATGGAGAGAAATGGGCAAATCCAAGAGACAGAGAAAGAAGAAGCTAGAGGGGTGGAGGCGAAGACAGGGAGCAATTAAAGATGAGCTGGATCTCATGGCAACTGGAGCCAGCATGAGGACCACTGGAGTTGGAACAGGTTGGGGCAGGAAAGCATTTCTATCTATCATCTTCTGTAAGACATTCAGTCTAGCAGAGAGTTGGCTACCCTGACATACAGAAACAACAGTCCAGCTGAAAATTTAGAGTTGGAAGATGATGAGGGCAAAACCAAGGTTTTGAGAACCGAAAGTGTGACCCGGGGAGACAGGTTACAGTAAGAAGAAACAGGGGACTTAAAATCTGAAGATTTTTGATACTGACTGGGTGGAAGAGAAACCACCCAAGGATACAAGAAAGAAAGCAGAGACAAAGAGGGAAACCAGGAGGCAAGCATCTGCAAATTCCCCCAGAACGCCATGACAAGTCAGCCACCAATGGGCTGCGAGTCTCAACTCAGCTATATGTGAGAATCACCTGCAGACATCTTCAAAAATGAAAGATACCAATTCTTGCCTCATACCTACTGAACCTGTCTCCCTTGATTTTGCCACTCAGAGTGTGGTCTGAGGACCAGCAGCATCAGGCATCACCTGAGAGCTTGTTAGAAATGCACACTCTCAGGGTCCACCCCAGACCTACTGAATCAAGCAATTCCTTTGCACATTAACCCTTGAGAAGCACCACCTAGAGTGATTCTCAGGCATCTTTATTTGTTGAAGCTGCATAAGGAACTCATATATTTATCCAGGGTTAAAAAACACTGGCCTAATATATTGGTCAACACAAAGCATTCATCTATAAAATAGCACCACGTTGAAGAAAACCAAAGCAATTAAGAAAATTGGTAGATTGATTCCTGCAGACACTCTGTCTTACCTTTCCTTCCTCCTCTTCCATCCTCAGTGAGCATAATAAATCGCTCACGCTGAACACTTCATAACCCAGTTCTGTCCCTTTGTATTGACACTGTCATCTTCACATCAGCATGTTTTCATCTTAATGTGAGAAAGCCACTAAGGTCTCAGTGAGCACATGCCCCGAGCATGAGCCATTGTCATTCAAACATTCTGGGATACAAATCAAACTAGAATGAGGTGTCATCTTATACCCATCAGAATGGCCATCATAAAAAAATCTACAATCAATAAATGCTGGAAAGGGTGTAGAAAAAAGGGAACCCTCCTGCACTGCTGGGAATGTAAATTGATACAGCCACTATGGAAAAAAGTATGGAGGTGCCTTTAAAAACTAAACATAGGACTAACATATGACCAAGCAATCCTACTCCTGGGCATATATCTAGAAAAAACCATAATTGAAACAGATACATGCACCCCAGTGTCCATTGCAGTGCTATTTACAATAGCCAGGACACAGAAGCAACCTAAATCTCCATCAACAAAGGAATGGATAAAGAAGCTATAGTACATATATGCAATGGAATATCACTCAGCCATAAAAAGGAATGAAACTGTGCCATTTGCAGAGACGTGGATGGACACAAAGACAGTCATACAGAGTGAAGTCAGAAAAACAAATATTAATGCATATATATGCAATCTAGAAAAATGGTATGATCATCTTATTTGCAAAGCAGAAATAGAGACACAGACATATTGGAATTGTCATATACAGATTATTGATATTATGTATTAAGTTGATAACTAATGAGTACCTGCTGTATAGTGCAGGGAATTCACTGCTTTGTGGCGACCTAAATGGGAAGGAAATCCAAAAAGAGGGGATATATGCAAATATATTGCTGATTCACTTTGCTGTTAGCAGAAACTAACACAACATTGTAAAGCAACTGTACTCCAATAAAAATGAATTTTTAAAAATTATTGGAAAAGAGGAGTAAAGGTAACCCATTTCAGCCATTGTGCTGAGTGAAGAGAATGGGGTAAATAGATAAACATTTCACTTCTTAAAACCTGTGAAATCAATTTATCAATCCTGAAAATAGCTCAAGATGTAAGAAATAAGGAGAAAAAAATGGTCTAGGAAGAACCAAAATAGATGCTACAAAATCCATGTACTCTTGTTTGGCCCTTACTCTAATTAAGTTTTTCTTTTATCTAAATTTAAAAAAAAAAAAAAAAGGATTTTCATTTTAAAAGGCATATTGAACTACGCTGCTGACATCTGAAAGAAAAACTTCTCTTCAGGAGTGCTTCTCAAACTTTAATGTGCACATCAGTAACCTGGGGATCTTGCTAAACTGGGATCTGATTCTGTATGTCCAGGTGGAGCCCGGGCGTCCGCATTTCCACCCCGCATTCTGTTGGTGCCGGTGGGCGGCAAGCCCCAAAGAGCACCACTGCCACCTGCTGGCGGAAATTCACATCACAAGCCTGGACCTAGGAAAGAGCAGGAATAGCCCTGTTTGGGAAACACGCCAAGCCATAGAGTAGTTCCGCTATTCTTTTGCTTGATTCTTGACTTTCAGACAGTTCAGTTCAGTAGCTAAGTTGTGGCCGACTCGTTGCGACCCCATGGATTGCAGCATGCCAGGCTTCCCTGTCCATCACCAACTCCCAGAGCTTACTCAAACTATTCTCCATCAAGTCAGTGATGCCATCCAACCATCTCATCCTCTGTCTTCCCCTTCGCCTCCTGCCTTCAATCTTTCCCAGCATCAGGGTCTTTTCCAATGAGTCAGTTCTTCACTTCAGGTGGTCAAAGCATTAGAACTTCAGCTTCAGCATCAGTCCTTCCAATGAACACCCAGGACTGATCTCCTTTAGGATGGACTGGTTGGATTTCCTTGCAGTCCAAGGGACTCTCAAGAGTCTTCTCCAACACCACAGTTCAAAACCATCAATTCTTTGGTGCTCAGCTTTCTTTATAGTCCAACTCTCACATCCATACATGACTGCTGGAAAAATCATAGCCTTAACTAGACGGACCTTTGTTGGCAAAGTAATGTCTCTGCTTTTTAATATGCTGCCTAGGTTGGTCATATCTCTTCTTCCAAGGAGTGACTTTTAATTTCATGGCTGCAGTCACCATCTGCAGTGATTTTGGAGCCCAAGAAAATAAAGTCTCTGTTTCCACTGTTCCGCCATCTATTTGCCATGAAGTAAAGGGCCTGGATGCCATGATCTTTGTTTTCTGAATGTTGAGCTTTAACCCAACTTTTTCATTCTCCTCTTTCACTTTCATCAAGAGGCTCTTTAGTTCTTCTTCGCTTTCTGCCATAACGGTGGTGTCATCTGCATATCTGAGGTTGTTGATATTTCTCCTGGTAATCTTGATTCCAGCTTGTGCTTCATCCAGCCCAGCATTTCGCATGATGTACTCTGCATATAAGTTAAATAAGCAGGGTGACAATATACAGTTTTGACATACTCCTTTCCGGATTTGGAACCAATCTGTTGTTCCATGTCCAGTTCTAACTGTTGCTTCTTGACATGCATACAGATTTCTCAGGAGGCAGGTAAGGTAGTCTGGTATTCCCATCTCTTTCAGAATTTTCCATAGTTTATTGTGATTCACACAAAGACTTTGGCATAGTCAATAAAACAGAAGTAGATGTTTTTCTGGAACTCTCTTGCTTTTTCAATGATCCAGTGGACGTTGGCAATTTGATCTCTGGTTCCTCTGCCTTTTCTTAATCCAGCTTGAACATCTGGAAGTTCTTGGTTCACATACTGTTGAAGACTTGCTTGGAGGATTTTGAGCATTACTTTGCTGGCATGTGAAATTAGTGCAATTGTGCAGTAATAGCAAGGAGAGATAAGAAAGCTTCCTTGGTTGTCAATGCAAAGAAATAGAGGAAAACAACAGAATGGGAAAGACAAGAGATCTCTTCAAAAAATATTAGAGATACCAAGGGAACATTCTTGACTTTAGTGGCATCTTTAAACTTCACTTCTTCATTTCATTTGCTTCTTCCAATCTTCATCTCAAGGATCATGCTTGGGCATAGGCAGTTTGGAGGCAGCAAAGGATGGGGTAGCCAGCTGAATGAGAAGAGTTGGCAGGCCCCAACATCCTGGCAGACAGGATCTAAAAGCTTACAAGGTCTCCAGGGAGCCCAGGCACTGATTCCAAATGGAGTGAAGTCAGCCAGGCCCAGAGAGGTCTCTTGTCATTACCTACTTCTCTGGTTTTGATTGCCATGCACCACAGCAAGAAAACAAGGCGTTTTCTCAGAACCTTTCCCCTTCATGTCCAGTTCTTTAGTATCACTCTTTACTAAGTATTCCTCAACAATTCTGTTTAAAACTGTATCAACTCATGTCCATTTCTTGCTTTCATTAATGTATATATGTGCTATGTGCTCAGTCGCTCAGTTGTGTCCAACTCTTTTGAAATCCCATGGACTGTAGCCCGTCAGGCTCCTCTGTCCATGGGATTCTCCAGGCAGGAATACTGGAGGGGGTAGGCATTCCCTTCTCCAAGGAATCTTCCTGACCCAGGGATAAAACCTGTGTCTCCTGATTTCAGGCAGATTCTTTACAGTCTGAGTCCACACGTTCTCATATATATATGAAAACTAGCAGGTGGTGCTAGTGGTAGGAAGTGACAACCCACTCCAGTATTCTTTTTTTTTTCATTTATTTTTATTAGTTGGAGGCTAATTACTTTACAATATTGTAGTGGTTTTTGCCACACATTGACATTAATTAGCCATGGATTTACATGTATGTGTTCCCCATCCCAATCCCCCCTCCCACCTCCCTCCCCACCCGATCCCTCTGGGTCTTCCCAGTGCACTAGCCCCGAGCACTTGTCTCATAAATCCAACCTGGACTGGTGATCTGTTTCACCCTTGATGATATACATGTTTCGATGCTGTTCTCTCTAAATATCCCACCCTCGCCTTCTCCCACAGAGTCCACAAGTCTGTTCTATACATCTGAGTCTTTTTCTGTTTTTCATATAGGGTTATCATTACCATCTTTCTAAATTCCATATATATGCGTTAGTATACTGTATTGGTCTTTATCTTTCTGGCTTACTTCACTCTGTATAATGGGCTCCAGTTTCATCCATCTCATTAGAACTGATTCAAATGAATTCTTTTTAATGGCTGAGTAATATTCCATTGTATATATGTACCACAGCTTCCTCATCCATTCATGTGCTGATGGACATCTAGGTTGCTTCCATGTCCTGGCTATTATAAACAGTGCTGCAATGAACATTGGGGTGCACGTCTCTTTCAGATCTGGTTTCCTCAGTGTGTATGCCCAGAAGTGGGATTGCTGGATCACATGGCAGTTCTATTTCCAGTTTTTTAAGGAATCTCCACACTGTTCTCCATAGCGGCTGTACTAGTTTGCATTCCCACCAACAGTGTAAGAGGGTTCCCTTTTCTCCACACCCTCTCCAGCATTTATTGCTTGTAGACTTTTGGATAGCAGCCATCCTGACTGGCGTGTAATGGTACCTCATTGTGGTTTTGATTTGCATTTCTCTGATAATGCCATTCCAGTATTCTTGCCTGGAGAATCCCATCGACAGAGGAGCCTGGCGGGCTCCAAAGGAGTTGCAAAGTGATCAATACAACTTAGCAACTGAACACAAGAGCTGACATGGTCTGAGCCAGGAAATCATTCTGAGGGCCTTCTTAGACTTGACTTGGAGGTCTGGCTTTTGAAGTATGTAACCGTGGCTAATACAGAGAATTCTACAACAACCATGGAGATAAGTACCAGCCCAAGTATCTGTGATCTTGGCGCCCAGTGAAAATCTGCTGTGAATATAAATAAATAAGTATATATTGCATCTTGCTACTTTTTTTTTTAACCCTCTTTTCATTGCAGTCTCAGGCAGCTCTGGCTGAGGAAGGGGGGAGTGGGCGGTGAGCGCAACGAGAGAGCAGCAGAATAACGGAGTCCTTTTCCGCTTCTCAGGCTGCAAAGTTGACTTGTCGTTTTTAATCGATGGGAGCTCGAGCATCGGCAAACGCCGATTCCGAATCCAGAAGCAGTTTCTGACCGATGTCGCCCAGACTCTTGGCATCGGCCCCGCCGGTCCTCTGATGGGTATCGTTCAGTACGGGTAAGTGTGGCTCTGAATTCAGAAACCAGGGCATGACCCTCGTTTCATCTTGTGCCAGAAAAGAAAAATATCCATACATCTAGAGCACAGCAGATTCATTCTCTTCCCTGACACAGATGTAGATGAGAGAAACTGAAGCAATCCAGATGCCAGTGAAGACATCTGAGGCCTCCAGAAGGAGGGACAGGTTAATCAACACTTGAAAGTAAATGGCGTTTGCACTCCTGATTGGTAGAGAGAATATTTGTTTGGGGATTAAGAGAGCTGGGTTCAAGTTTTCGGTTAGCCAATAGCAGGCTGTGTGGCCTTGGGCTAAGGCCTTCACTTCTCTCTCAGGCAATTTCCCTTTCAACCCTGACTCCTCGAGTATTAGTTTGAGGGGCTCCTGCGTTACCCTAGAGGTGTGTGTGTGCTAAGTCATTTCAGTCGTGTCCAACGCTCTGTGACCGCATGGACTATAGCCCGCCAGGCTCCTCTGTCCAGTGGATTCTCCAGGCAAGGAGACTGAAGTGGGTAGCCATGCCCTCCTCCAGGGGATCTTCCCAACCCAGAGATTGAATCCAGGTTCTCTTATATCTCCTTCATTGGCAGGTGGGTTCTTTACCACTAGCTGGGAAGACCAAAAACTCTGTAACAGAGGTCTCACTTATAGGTGAGATGCCCAGAAATCATGGTCCTCTAGGTTGAACTTTCTCCTTTCTCCCAATAACCTGAGGCCTCTGCAGTGGTGGTGGGAAAGCTCAGCTGGCAATGGGGAGCACTGCAGGAGGTGGGGGGGGCGGGGTGCAATGGCCCCCAGCAGTCACCTAGCTGACTATCCCCAATTCATTCTACTCTTCTACATAGGATAGAAATTGAGGTCTCATACTGATGTCCACCCTCAACTTTTCTCTTATTGGGGATAATAAATCAATCTTGTTTCACATGCAATAGATTTCTCTTTAAAGCAGATTTACAGATATCAACTGGAAATAAGTAATCAAAAGAGCAAACAAGCTCAAATCTCAAATAATATGTGGCCTTTTGATCAAGAACCATGAAGGGCAGGATAACTGTCTCACTTTCCACAAAGGATCTCAGACACAACCTTCCCCCTTCATCCCCCAGATCTGTAGCTCAGCCTTGGCCTTGGAAACTAACTTAGGCCTTGGTACCTCTTGCTCAGAAGCCGCAGTCACAGCTTATTTGTGCCTCGTGACAAGTTAAAAAAAAAAAAACCTGACAACAGCCAGGAGGTCTCCAAACCCTTCAGACATTTAGAGCAGCATTTTAACCAATGTGGTTATGTCAAAGACACTAGGATATTTAGTTTTGAGATCTCCAAAGGAATAAAAATGCTTTGCTTTCACAAGAACCTATAACATTTGTATTTTTAGAATTAAATTCCAATAACATATATAGCACCACCTTCTATTTCTGTGAAGAAAAATCGCTGAGTTAAGTGGCACTTGTATACAGTCAGAGTCAAATATATAAAAATAACCACTTGCTACAAATGTTAATTCTCAGTGTCAGATGTTCTGGACATTTTATCTTGAAGTAGGAAAATACGTGGTTTTGGCCATTGTTTTCTTGTTTTTCAACACGTCAACCCATTTTCATTCCTGTTTTTCTTTTTTAAAGATAGCAAATGAATAGCAGGCTTCTCTGGGGAGGAAATATAAGTGTTTTAGTGCAGCTGTCCCTGGTCAGTTTATTGAGGGATTTAAAGCTTGGTGTGTCATCTTGCATTAAAAATAGCTGCTTTAAAAGCTGTGTATACCAAAGTTTATAGGATAATATGAAAATAAGGTGATAAATATGTCAAGGAAAAGAAAAATGGCAGGCAGACTGGTGTGCTGATGGGAACACGGATTAAAGAATAAATGTAGCAGGGTAGGAAAAACAATACAATAAAGGCTCCTTCCTCTCAAAATAACATTTTCTCCCACTGTGTTCTTAACGTCATCACCATTTATAGGGAAGAGTTTACCTCCAAGCTTTTCACTGTCACTTTCTAAAAATACCTTTGCTGTTTATCCTTTTTTCCACCCAGGGTCCTTATTAATTTAAAGCCCTTAAGGGAAATGTGTCTGTTTTCCTTCACTTTCTGCTCACACAAGCCTATCGATGGTCTTCGGCCTCAGGGTGGGGTGGAAAGCACAAGGGTGACAGGACATCTTGAATTCTAGCCTTTGCGCCACTGGGTGACCTGAGGCAAATCACTCAGCTTCTCCATGTAAGAGCTGCCGTCGGTGAAGTCCGCGTCAGGCGGAGCGGGGGATTTATTAGGGCTCTGCCAGCCCAGATGTTCTGGAATTCAGTGACTGGCTGTGCTAAGAAGACAGCCAATCAATGAACACCGGGCGAACCCACTTGGAAGCGCTTCCTCTCCCTTCCAGCCTCGGGTTCTGAATAGGTGGGGGAGTGACGAGCAATGAAACAATGGCGGCACCGAGGTTATACGTCCGTCGGGGGGAACAAAATCAGCTGGAGAAAAGCACTAGGAGGGTGAAATGAGGCCGAAGGGGAAATCCACGCACCCAGAAGTAAAAGCTGAAAATGCTTTTATTTCTGCTCCGGCTCTCCCGTCCATTCTTTCTCCAGCAAAATGTCTTGGTGTGCAGAGGGGGAGGGTGTGGGGCAGGGAATGGTGAGGGGCAGAGGTCGACGAAGAGCTGAGGTCAGTGTTTCTGGAAGAGGGCTCACCAGTGCTTGGCTGGCTGGGAATCTGGTCCCGTTCCTGGTCCTTTGGGGTCTCACTGGATTCTAGTACCCACGTCACGACCCGTCACTGGGGATCAGCCCCCTTCTCTCAGAATCGCAGCGCAGTGGGGCCCTAGAAACCTCATGCTTCCACCTCATGTTACAGTCAGGAAACGGGCTCTAAAAGAAACGCCCACCCTGCCGAGAACAAGCTCCCAAGGCAAGGCGTAGGCTGGGAAGGAGCTGGCGGAGGACTCGGAGCTCCCTATTCCTCCTCTCGGGCCTCTCACCCCCGGGGCGCTGCCCTGGGTACACGTGAAAGATTCCCCCAGGACATTCTTTCGCCTGGTTTTCCGTAGAGCTGAGGCAGAACTTAGACTTTTGAATTTGGGATTTAGAAGCCTCATACTATGAACAGGAAATAGAAGGCAAATAAATAAGAAATAAAATAACGAGAAGCAGAACATTGGCCTGATGCACAAAATGCAGAGCTTGTTTCGCCTGCTGGTCCCTAAGATACTTCCGGTACAGGAGACTGGAAACCAGCCCAGGCAGGCAGGTGAAAGGAGGGTGATGTCACAGGATTGGCGGGTCACTGGGCCCCTCCCTCCTTCTTCCCTGCATCTCCTCAGCTCTATGTCCTCGCTGGCCTTCCCCCCAGTGGCCCAGCACATCCCCTGCCAGGCTCATGGCTTCTGCCCCTTTCTGTAACTTCCCCTTTCACTGGCTGGGTTCCTACTTCTGGTCCAGGCCAGGGGGAGCTCTTCAGCCCGGGTGGTGCCCACCTTCTCCGTCTCCCACATCCCCTCTGCACAGGCAGAGGCTTGGAACCCAAGATCGGGTTACCTTTCAGCAACCGCAGCGTTCCTTCCACAGTCATCACGCACCTCCAGTAAGAGAGTCCACATTCGATGCAGACCCAGAGAGGTTGAGTGACTTCCCTCAGAATACACAGCTAATGCTTGACCACTAGGGAGAGGACAGATATTAAATCTTGGGTTAATCTCTGAAATGTGAAACCAAATTGACTTCAGAGATTTTGCTTCTCTGCCAAGAGAGCTCCTGATAACTGAAGTTTTCCACCAAACTGAGGACTGAGGCCCTGTTGAAGAAAAGGCCAAGGGCCAAGCCCTCATTTTGCACACATGGTCTCATTTTAGAATTAAGCAGCCAACAGGCTTGTGGTTGCGCTTAAGACCAATGGGAACACTAAGAGGCTAGATGAAAGAATGGCCAGACAAGTAGCTATTCGGTGAACTCTAGCAAACAGAATGGTGAAGCCAAGCAGGTTACATTTTAGCTGCTGCCTGGATCCACGGGTGCTGAATGCCCTCCGGACCTTCAATATAATGTCGTCATCCCCAGTTTCAGTACAAATGGAACAGAATTGTACATGTTCTTCTGAACTTTGTAATCAACCCCAGGGTACCAACACTGGAAAACAAGCTATAGAATAAAGCAAAATATTGGTTGTTCTTCCTTTCAAAATGAAATCCTTTTCTTTGCTCATGGTTCTCTGACAGGTGTCCTGTGTTTTAGCTCAAAGTTGGGCTGCATTTCCTTACTTTACTTCTTAGCCCACCCAACTCAGCCCGGACTGAACACCCTCAGTCACATTCAGTTGAGTCTCCCTTCCTGCCCCCCAAAAGCAGGAAGAATGCTCAGAGGCTCCCGTGGACCAGCTGAGCCGTCCAGTGTGGGGCAACCAGAGTCAGAGGAAGAAACCAGGTGTTGGATGTGGTTGCGATGGGCAGAATAATGGCTGCCAAGCTGCCCATGTCTGACTCCCTGGAATCCATGGCTATGATAACTCACTGAGGCAACAACCTTCCTGGCTGTGTGGAATGAACTCACTGGTTTCCCATGAAACAGCAAAAACTGGCTTCATCAGGAGACCTATCATTTCCAGCAACATATCAGAAGCAGAAATCCCTATTATAAGAAACATTTTGGCCCTTTTTTCACGCAACTTAAGAGGGAAACAGAAATGTAAACAGAATGATCCTCACAACCAAGACCGACTGAGCAGACGGCTGCTGCGTGTTCAAAACCTGATGCTATACTTAACTAGGTCCAGTGCAGAGCCCCCACCAAGATATTCCATCAGAGCCAGAGGGGCTTGGAGCTGTGATTAAAGTCAAGACCCTGAGATGGGGAGACTGTCCTGGATGCCCAGGTGTCCCAGTCTAATCACTTGGGTGCTTAAAAGCAGAGAACCCTTCTCAGCTATTATCCGTTGAGGGAGATGTGACTACGGAAGAGGCTCAGAAAGAGCGACTGCTGGCTCTGAAGGTGGAGGAGAAGGACCCCAACCA